GGGGGGGGGGGGGGGGGGGGGGGGGGGGGGGGGGGGGGGGGGGGGGGGGGGGGGGGGGGGGGGGGGGGGGGGGGGGGGGGGGGGGGGGGGGGGGGGGTCTTGTTGATGATGATGTTCGCAACAAGCTGTTCGTGCCGCTCCAACGGCACATGGTCGTACCTGACACTGCTGTTCACCTGGAATGTATATTTTAATAGTAGCCAGATTCGTACTTCAATTTAGTATGATTTCCATGAATCTCTCAACCGCCGCCACCGCCGCCGCTCTTTTCTTTCAATTTTCATAACGACGTCGCGACACAGTTCATTAACATCGACCAGGTTGCGGGAGGGGCCGCCATGAGGATCGAGCCAGGGAGCACGGCCACTTTCGCCGAGGACGTGACTTTCAGCGCTTGCGAGCTCCCAGTAAGGAGCAGTACATGACGTTAAAATCGACAACTTGTGCCCCAACAAGCCAACCCGTGCAGAGATCGACAGTGTCCTCGTGAAAATAGTCGAGTTTTTGCATGTGGTCGAAGTGGTCGTTGACCTTCCACGCTTCTCCGGAACAGAACGACGGCGCCGGTCGCTCCTAAGTCGTGCGCGTGCTTGTTTCCGTCTCTCGGCATTGCTCCTCGCAGTTCATGGCAATCTGTGCATGCATTTACCGCTTGTGCACGCCATGCACTAGATTGGCGGGTACTCATGGATTTCTCTTGGTTGGCGCGACGAGACATTAACAATGCCAAGAAGGGACGACTTTTGCAAACAAAAAAAACCCGACACGAAGGACACAACCAAGGAGACACACTCAATCACACGCAACCCCGTTCCTATGGTACCCTTTTACCCATTTCCCCACAATTCAATACTTCGTCATACGCCTCTTCTTGATGGATTGGTTGTGATGGACTCCCTGGGGTTTGTTACTCGGTGGGGACGGCGCCGCCTTTTGTGGGACAGGTGTTCGGTGGGGGCTCTGATGGCGCGGCGATCGCCAACCTGGGCACTCTCTCGTTCCAGGGAACGGCCACGTTCAAAGACACCCCCGATGTAAGTTAGCCGCCTTGCCCATGTTTTGTCGCGTGGTGGTGTCTCAGTTTTTGTCTTCTCGCCCAGGAATTGGAAGCGGGAATGTCTTGCCTGCCTACAGAAGACGGCACGTTGCTGTAGCTGCGGGCACACAGACGACCGAGATTACTGTTTTCCTGCCACTGCAGTAGCCACAAACAATTCCTGGCAGGATCTCTCCCCTCTTTTTTCTCTCTCTCTCTGTCTCGGTTCCTCCTTCTCTCTCCCTTTTGATCCGTTTGTCTGTCGGTCTCCGCCGTCCTCTCCCTCTCCCTCTCCCTCTTCTCCATGTTACTCACTCGCTTACGCTCAATTATCTTTCGACCAGCAGTCATATGGCTCAAGCCGAACCATGTTGTGGTATGCAGAAACTAACTGTGGGCGCTCTCCCAGAGTTTGTCGAGGCTCCCTACTATTTCGTGAAATGTTCTACTTGTTTCCTGCATCTCCCGCAAAGAACACCTTGCTCGTTGCTGAACGAAAGCTGCCATTCGTCGCCGCTGACGTCTACTCGCAACCTCCGCTTTCCCCGCGCCCGTGGGTATCCCGGGTACTGTTGCCGCTGGTGGAAACGTTGTCATTTGGCAGGGTGGAGCACTGTACACCTGGGGCGATCTGACCGTGAGCAAGGGCTATTTATTTATTTTTATTATTATTATTTTTTCTCCCATCATTGGACTTTGTCGTCCGCCCCTCTGGCCCCTATCCTCCACTTCTACTAGCTAGACGACCCAACCGGGGTCACATAGGAGGGGGGGAATGGACCCCCTCCTGCGGTTCCTGCCTGAGGTATTTCTATCGCGAGAAGGGTACAGCAATCCCTTCCGTCGCCACTTACGAAGTCGATTATGGTTTACTAACAACGAGCTTTGCAGCGCGTCGCTTTCATCCTAGGCCAGGATTTATTTAGTGAGAAAACAACTCACTCTGCCGGGACTCGAACCCATGACTTGGCCCTTAGCAGGCTGCGAGGCTACCTACTAGACCACCCGGGCGACCGGTTTATCTTTATGTGCTTGAGTAAATGTTTCCCTTGGCCTGAAATATGATCCGCCTACCGGGGTTTTCTGCGGCGCCGACCGGCCTTCGAAGCTGGGAATCGCCCGGCGGTGTCGTCGTTGTAGACGCACGCGACGCGACCAGAGAAGTTCGCTAGTTGCACACAAGTTCGTAGTGTGTTTGAAGATATTCTACCTACATGAGTTCCGATTCCTTTCTTGTGCTTGTCCAAGAAGGCCGACCCAACCCCGGACGCCCGAGATTCGAAACGGGGGTACAGCTTTAGTGGTGTTCTCTTGCTCCCGCTCTCTTGTGTATGTAACGCGGGTGCGGAGCGGGAAATCTGGCTTCTTTTGCCTGTGTCCGGAGTATTGCCCATCAAACCTCTAGGCACATTCTGGCAATGTACCTGCTTCTGCTCTACCGCTGTAACCCGGCTGTTCATGCAGCATTAAATGGAAGCCCACAGGACGGGCGCACACATGTCTGCGCGTGCTTACTGGCAGCAACCCCCTCACACGCCCTTCCGTCTTGTTGCTGTCATCGCTGCACGGCCGATTGGTCGCTGCTGCTGCTTGTTGTTCTTGTCCTGGCTCTGCTGTCATCCTCCGGTGGTGGTTGTTCTGGTTCTACGGCTCTCCTGCTGCGTTCTCGCACAGTTCGAAAAGGACGCCATTTTCGAGAACAACAAGAGCATCGACGTGAGGGCAAAGGCCTGAGTTTTGCGCGACGAGAGCCTGTTGGGGGGCCGGAAACGAATCGAGCGTGCATGCATGTATTCAATACAAACGTGCTTCAACGACGACCCGACAACCCGTTTGTGTTCAGACGCAATTGTAACCAATCGCGGTTTCACCCTCCTGCTCTCGGCCATTCTAGAGGTTTCATCCCGGCACACGCTCCGGCCCGATACGGCCAACCACCACACCGTAACCACCAACATGCGATTTTGCGGGTGTTCACTAGCATGCATTTGGGTTTTCTGTTTCCAATTCGCCTGTTGACGTTCATGACCGTTTTTTTGTTTCGTCCAGGGGGGTGACGGGAACGGTTCCGGGGCCGGGCTGTACTCGGAGCTGGACGGCGAGGTGCTGTTCATGGGGGCTGCGTACTTCATCGACAACGAGGTCTACGAGATGATCGACAGCGGGGGCAGGGGTGCTGCGTACTACTGCGACCTCCCGACCGTGTTTAAGGGGCCGGTCGTGGTCAGGGGTAACTCGGGGATGGTGAGTTTGCGCTGTCGACCGTCGTCGTCGTCGTGGCTGTTGCTGTCGCGGTCGTTGTTGATGTGATTGTTGTGGTTCCATCCGCTGAAATTGTGGTGTGCCGAAGGTTCTGTGTGTCGAAGTCGTTATTGTTGTTGTCGTTGATTCCGCTGCTGCTTCTGTCGTTGCTGTCGTCTTGGCGTTGAGGTCCGCTTAAATTGACTTTGCAATCGGGAGTCCCTCGGTGGCCAGCGCTACCTCTCCGACCGGTGTGAAAGGGCGAAATTTTCGTCGCCAAAGGTTGACGCAACCAACAACTCCAAACAAACGATGGAGACTCAAACAGCAACTCGGGAGATCATCCTGTCTTAGGCGTTGGTGCCGTGGAATGATTTTTGTGTTTGGCAGAGGTGCTCTCTTGGATTAAGGTCAGATTGTAAGAGATGCCTGGCTCAGACATCATGACATGGGTCTTTAAGCACGTCCGGGTTGTTGGAGTTGAGGTCAAGGCCGTCGACCTCGCCCTCAAGCTTCGGACGTGGAGCGTAGCGAGGGGGTTGAAGAATTCGAAAATTTGTCCAACATATATACCAAAACACAGTGTGTTGGTTGAACCAACCCGGGTGTATTCTACCATTCATGCCTTCGCACGGTCGGTTGTAATTGCACGAAAGATTTTTGACTGCATCACGTGTACGGCAGACCAAGGGCCTGATTACCGCCACCATATTGGCGAACCCTAGGTCTAGTAATCTTGTCTGTGGATGGAAATGCACCCCCCGGCGCTCCGAAACCTTGCTGAACTAGACCTGCACCCAAGCCCGTTCTGCAGCCAAGATGGGCTACATGCAGGCGATACCCGGTTATTCTATCGAGTGTCGTTTGAAATATCATGACACTGAGAAGTAAACCTTGTCGCATCAGGCTGGCGACCCGTGATGGATCCATTAACACTGACTATGAACCGTTTTTTTCCCGGCCCTTGCTCTTTTGTTTATGTGCTATCTCTCGCTTGGCTACGAAGGAGGGCGCGCTGTACCTGAACGGAAAAGTAACTTTCGAGGATCTCGTAACTGTCGAGGACAACATTATGGAGGTGGGTTTGAGCACCCAAGAGTTTTCTTACGTTTGTCTTGACCGGTCTGCACTTACGGCAATCAGTTCAGTTCGGCGTCAAGTCCTTTGGCCGTTTCAGCGGAGACGTACGCACACGCTGATCAATAGCGCTTTGTCGGAAGGTGCACGCTCGAACAAGGAGAGATGGAGTGCGGGCGAGGCGTCCATGATTTCTTTCAGCCTGCAGCTTGTGTAAATGCCGTGGCACGTGCGTTGTACTCTATCGATACTAAAGCGGTCAGTCAACAGCCGGCGTTTGTGTGATTGCTCGCTCGTGCGGTGTATTCCGCTCGCAGTGGCTAATGGCCATCGTCGCCATTGTGCGCTTGTTATTCACGGCCATGAGTCTCCCCTGGCAACAACAGTCGCGATCCAAACCTGGTGCCACCCGATGTTTCTTGTTATATTTTCGTCTGCCGGTTGACTGAAACACCTTGCTCGCCGGCAAACGGCGCGATCATCAGCCCAAGCTCTACGGCGATCGCTCCGAGGGGGCGATCAGATTGGGCAGCTACAGCAAGGTGGACTTCCAAGCAGGCATCACGGCGACGGGAAACATCGCGAAGGACGGCGGGGCTCTCTACGTCGACGCGTGAGTTAGGCGCACACCCTCCCCGCTACCTTCGCCTTCTCGAACTCACAATGACAACTGACGCGATGAGAACAGCGATAAGGAGCTGAGCGATAGACCGGAAGCCCTCCACCCCCCACCAACCCCAACGCCGGAGATCCCGGGCAAATCGAAATCGTGCCGATGTGGAAAATCGTGCCGATGTGGAACTCCGTGCAGAATAAGTCGAGGCAGCAGAGCGGTGATGTCCTGCGTCCTCCCACCTCCCACCTCCCACCTCCCACCTCCCACCTCAAACCATCCAGTACTTGTTCTACACGAGCGGCCAGCTAGGCCCATATCAATTCCGTTCTCGTCATTGTTTATCGCCGCTCCATGTATCCTGCTCGCCATTGTAGTTGCCTTAGCTCCTACTAACTCATAGTTTCGATGCTGTGATTGACTTGGTTCTATACAGGGAAGCTAAGGTCACCATCTCCGGGCCCGTCACCATCACAGGGAACGAGGCTCGTAGCTCCGGGGGCGCCATCTGGATGGGAGGAGAATCCCTCAAGCTCCCGGCGGACGCTGACATCTCGGACAACACCGCCGTTTCCGTGAGTCCTCGAAAGCACGCCGCCGCCTCCCGCCCCTAGCAACTTGTGGCGACGCTTGTTTTCTAAGTGAAGCATATTGTTTGGGGAGCACAGGCTCAAGGCTTTCGGCGCGCCTGCCAAGTTGACTTGGCCTCAGATGAGGCGAGCTTCACATGCCATTAGATCACACGGATACCCCCCACACCCTCATGCACGGATTTATGCCGGTGGTTTTCTGCGTGGCATATTTGACCAAATTATTCACTTGCGACCTCATTGAAGGGATGGAAAAATGTCTGGGGTTCGCCAATCAGGGGGGGCGCGGTTGGGGGGATGAGTAGGAGTGTAGGGTATTCTTCTATATTTTCATGGGCGTCTGGACGCCCCGGTTGTTCAGTTGGTGCACCTTATCCTCCTGGCTGTATTGTGAGGTTGATCTGGCATATGTGACAACACCATCAACGCTAACCACCACTGCCTCAGCCAAAACAACACCAACAACGACCACGACAACGGCGCCAACAATTCTATGTACAAGTCAACTCTCTTACCCGCAACTTTGTCCGATAACAAGAACTTTGCACGCCGCTCGAACACTCGCGCTTACGAACGCACGCCTCCAGTGCCCCGGTATCGAGTTCACCGATGGTGAGGTCGTGTTCGACGGAGGCGAGACCTACACGTCCGCCTCGACTGAGCTGTGCTACTTCGGCACGTCAATCGACGGGTCGACGCCCACGGACCTGGTGGAGGAATTCAACTGCGAGGCGTACTCCGAGACTGCTCCCACTTCGAACGACCTTCCGATCCTGGTAATCGACACCCAGGAGATCAAGTCGTGGGACTTCGGGTCTGGCGGGGGCTTCTCATGCCCGACGCAGATGGTAAGGAGCAAAGGCAGAGCAGCACGCCGCAGTACAGGGCTAAGCGTTATATATAGCGTACGTTTTGGTTCGGTCTAGGCTATTTCAAGCCGTCTGTTGGTTGTTTGCTTGTTTCGGCACTAGCGGTTGTTTCTTTTTACTTCGACTCGGCCTGGCTCTGCTCAGGATAGAGGGTTTATGTACGTGGTTGATCTTTGCTGCTTGACGTCGCATATGATCTTGTTCGAGATGTGAACGTGAAAACATTCTCTTGACGTGAAGGGGCGACGACCTCGGCGGTAGGAGGACACGGGGTAGCGGGACGGGTGTTCTCTTGTTCCGCGGAACTGCTGGGAGGGGGGGAAGGGTGTAATCATTGTCCTGCATGCCATAGTCCTTAGACCATTGACCTCGCATCCCTACAAGCCGGGACGGAGTACGCCGGGTTGTCACCGAACCAGGCTCTCACATCACCAAGCGCGAAGCGCCGTGAGGTATTCGGCGAGCCGCATGAGGGTGCGCTGCATCCTGCTAAGGGTGTTCGGCATCTTGCGCTTACTTCCTTGCGTACGGATGACAGCTGTGAATGACTTAATTTATTTTCTGGTGCTTGCACTTCCACAGACTGTTATGAGCACTGTGTTCCATGGGTGCTTGACCATTTTAACACGACGTTGTGCGATCATTCCCTTTGCGCGGAGTGAGGGTTCTCAACTCCCCACAAGGTAATCTACTCCACCACCATCATTCATGCGGACCCAGAAAAAAGGCGGTAACATGGTTGCCGAGCTCACGAAGTGATCGGCTTGTTTTAAAATGTCGTTGTCAAGCGACGAAAACCCAACCCCCATGGCAAACTCGCTGCTGGGAGGGCGGAAATATGAAAATGCGGCACGAACGGTAGCTTGCGCCGTTAGCCATAAGAGTAGGGCGTGACCGCTGCGGTTTTCTTGTTTCCGGTGTTTCCACAGCGGAACACCAATGGTTTTCCCGGCCTCATTTGCTGGATGTCGTCCGTCTTTTTTGGCCACTTCCACCCTCCCGCTCTCAACTTGTCGGCGTTCGGGGCCGCCTGTCGTCTCTGTTCCGGTGCTCGGTGAAACCGCCCCGACCAGATTGTGTACGTGACCGGTGGAGGAGAGCTGACCGTCACGTCGTCGGCGGCGTCCACTACGATTGACAACGCCAGGTTCGAGGTCAGCGGCTTCTCCAAGCTCATCCTCGATGTGCCCGGACTCACCATGACCGGCATCTACCAGTCGGTTAGTTACAAGTTTGTCTTTTATCTCAAGAAGAGAGGCTTTTCACCAGCATCCCAAGGGAATACAGTGGTTGTAACAAATCAAGGGAGCTCGTCGTAGAAGGTTAGGGCAAGCTAGGCTACAACAGCTATGTTTGTGTGCTGCAGCAGGACAACTCCGAGGACAAACACCGCTCTGCGGCGGCGACTTGTATGGCCAATGCTTTGAGTAGTGCTTGGCAAGTTGAGCGGCCTTACCTCAGGCACATGACTTACCGGGACCTGTAGGGGGACGGCCAGCACCATCACCTCGGCCGCAACTGTTTATATCCCATAATATCTCTTAATATCGCCACCGTGATCATCAGTGCCATCGTGTTTTCGCAATTCGTGTTAATGGCGTCGAGTGCCTCTCGGTGTGTGTCTTCGTGGCTATGCAGCAAGCAGGCGGGGCGCTCTTCGTGGACGTCGGCAGCAGCATGGAAGTCATGCACGACATCACGTTCTTGGGCAACACTGTCGCCATCAACTACGAGCTCGGGCTCTGGGTGAGAACATGCTGGATCTGTGCGACGCTTGCTGCCGGATTTGACAAGCAGTGGCAAGCGTGGGAAGGTATCAAAGTCTGGGACAGTAGCTATTTTCAGAACGTCAAAGGTTCTTCTATCTTCAGTTCGAGACAATATCCCCCCGTAGAACGAATTTGTTGGATGTATTCCGGACCATTGTTGAGGGATACCCTCAGGTCACTTGATTCTGTTTTGAGTCTATACAGTTTGCGAATGCATGGATGCTAGTTGATGTTGGGGGTTGGCATTTTCCACCTTTGGTTACATTCAAGTTTCGACTGAAGGAGAAGGACTCGCCAACAAAGCGGCACTGTCACCATGGGCCACAAATCTTGCCTCCATGGCGAGCAAGTCCGTAACAGATAGTCGCACGGGGTTATTTTCGCACCGTCCTCGCCGTCCAGCTGTAGTACGATCGCGAGAATGATTTAGACAAGGGTATGAAGACTTGTCAGGTTCTATAGAGAGGTTTCTCGAACGTTTTCTGGACACCTGGCTAAAACACGTGCCAGCTACATGCAACCGAAACAGGTTGTCCGGCCGATGTAGGCATGTTCCTCTGTCTCAGCAGAATGGTCGATTGTTTCATGCTGTCAAAGCACATTGTGCTGGCCTCGCGCCAGTCGAGCGATCGCCATTATATGGCACACCGAGAGTGAAGGAACACAGCAGTGCTTCCGCTGGATGCACGGAAACCTTTAACTCGGCTCTTCGCTTCACCACAACTGCTGTGCTCAACGTAAGCCTACTATCCGATGAAGCTCGGGCCTACGTCAGAGTAACATGATTGTATTTTTTCTGTTGCATCGACCGCGCTAACCGGCTGACCAATGAGAAGACACTAGTCTCAGTGCGGCGGAACATGTGTGTGTGTCTACGTGCGTTCGTGCGTCCGTCATTTCCTTCGCCCAACTCTCGAGAGCAACCGCTGACTTGTGACGCCGGGCCGGGATGGATCTTGAATCTTGTGTCTTTTCACATCCTTTGGCAGGAGGCGCGTGGCGGTGCCGCCGTGTACTCCGCGGGCACGACGACGTTCTATGGAACGGCCGACTTCCTGGGCAATGGGCAGTACGATGCGGACGCTAACGGTTACGAACCCTCCAACGAGGATGGTGGCGCGGTCTACAACTCTGGTTCCATGACGGTAGAGACCAACGCCGTACCGCAGCAGCGTCCGTGGTAGTAGTTTGGCTTTGCTGAAGTACCTCCCCCCCATCCCCACATGGCGACGAACGCGACGTCCCCTAGTTTACCGATCATTCCTTTTTGAACACGGTCTTCATGGCCTTGTGCGATGTCGACAACTGAACAACAAAGGCAAGCCAGAAACTCACGCGAACCGTGTCGGCTCCTTGACCGCGCACGGGTAATATTCTTGCAGGGGTTGATGAGTATATGTTGGTGAGGGACCATGAACGTCCCCTTGAAACCTCGCCAAGAAGGGGGATGACTCTCATCGTGTTGACAATCTGTCCCGTTGGCTTCGTGGTAATCATAGAGCTGGGTAGAGGCGTGCGAACATTTTCACCTCCGAGCGTGGCACCCACTCACACTCGTGGGATCGGTTGATGCGACGTCTTGCTGTTGTGCTTCACTTTCGCTCTTGGACATTTCAGTTCGCCCGTAAGGGCACCTTTTTGGATAACTTCAACCCCAACGGCGGGAATGGGGGGGCGGTCGCGAACTTCGGCGACTTGACTTTCAACGTCCGGGGCGTCTTCAAAAAGTGAGAGATTGTTTGCTGGGGAACAACACACTGAACCGTTTGTTTTGGAACGGGCGTGCGATGTACACCTACAAAGGGGTTGGCTTCATGAATGACTGGAAGTGTCTCTGGGTTGCTCCCTCGTGTGCCATACCTCGCTGCGTCCCGTCGTGCTGGGCCATTGTTGGTGGCATGTTGTGGTGTTGGTGTTCTGCTTATAAAGTCGGTTCATCAATCTTCCCAGCGAAAAACTGCGCTTCTGTGTGCACACGGCGGTGGCCACGGTTTCACCTGTGGGCCACATCGCACACTGCGCTGACATCGCCGCACATCAACTACATATTTTTCCCCCCTCATGTCCTTGCTGGGATGTGCATTTTTGCGCAGGCATGTATTGGTCTTCCATGCAGCTCGATTTGATTTCCTGTTCTCGTTGTTGTGGGCAAATAAACCGGTAGTCAATACTCTGAACCTTGCACGTACGTTCATTGTACATACATACATTTACATTCGCGAGGTGGGAGCCGTTCCTACTGCACCTGACGTGTCACGCAACATTGACGTTTGTTAATTCTGTATATTACGACTTGACGGCTTGCCCCGATTGCCGTGGTTCTTGATCAGCAACTCGGTGGGCGTTGCCTACACTGACGACGGGGACCCGTACGGTGGCCGTGGCGGAGCAGGTATTGCGCGGTGACGCGCTCGCTTGTTGGTGGTCGCTTGTTCTTGTCGCGTTGTTAGGATTGACACCGCTAGCTTTCCGGCGGCCTCCACGTAATGCGGTTTGGCACAGTTTTTGGCCTTCGTTTGGGGATTCACTCCTGTCTTGTCACTACTACCTGCAACGATAGTATTCTCGCTGTAATGTCCAACGAACCAGACTTGTCCATATGGTACACGTATTCGTCTCCTCATCTCCTTTAGGGCATACCGTTGGTGTAGATGACGTGCCCAAACCAGGGGCAGGGTAACACATGTTTCACAAGCTGCCACGGGAAGATTTTGGCCTCGAGGTACGGGTACACGCTTAAAAAATAAACAAGAACAACCGCGAGGAGTCGGTTCAGGGGTAATTTCGATATACGAGCGCCACGAAGTAAATGGATTCCTCGTGAAGCCGTTATGGAGTCGAACCATTCTCCGACCTAAAGGCGGGGCTAGGATAAGAGCTGGTCGACTCTTCGTTGTACCTTCCGAGAAAAGCGAGAAGGGCAGTCAGGGAAAGGAGGAAGAAGCATGCGGTAGCAGACATCATTGTTGGTTGAACTTGGCGCCACGGTGTTGGGAGTGGTTATTGATCCGGTTGTTGATGGTGCTTATTGTGCGCGTTCCTTGCAGTGTACAACGGAGGAGATGACAGCACCGTCCTCTTCGGCGGCTTGGTCATCTTCAGCGACAACGTCGGTGGCACGGTGAGAAGAGTCGGCAGGAGAGGGGGTGGTGTACTCATGTGAATGCATGCAGTAGTCGGTTGACCATAGACCTCGCAACCGTACTTTCCGGGACAGAGAAATTTATCGGGTTTCCGCGGACTCAGGCTACGTTTCACAATAATGAAGGAGGTGGTGATCATCCTTGCGTTTGCTGTGCCAAACAAGGTGTGTCATGGGTTTATCCAGCATTCCGGTCAACCAAACCCTCACAACCGGCAGAACGATCATGCTTCAAGTACTGCCAGGAACTGTGATCTTTGCGCGCTCGTGCAAAGCAAGCGCTACGCACACAGCGAACACGTCGCTACGTGTGTGATACACTCGGAACACATGCCCAGTCTCTCCAGGTGGAAAAAATGCAGATGGGGTAGTTCATTGCTTCAGTGTTTTTCTCGTTACGAGCGTACCAACTATCCATTTTCCAGCGGACGGCAAGGGTGTGAACTCCAGGACCAACGCCCACAACTTCACAGGAGTTACCGCAAAAGCAATTCCCATGCCCTATGTGGTCCGGTGAGAACCCGGCGTGCTCCGTCCCGGCTTTGTAGGAATGCGAGGTCAATGGTCTAACGACTACGGCATGCACGACTATGAGTACACCCCCCCCCCC